GGGCGCGCGGGCTCTGGGAGCCGGGGCCCCCGGCTTCCCGCGTCTTCCCGCTGGGAGATGAGCGAAGGCGTTCGGGGCTTGGGAGTCGAGCGCGCCTTGGAGGCCCGCGGAAAGAGGAACCGGGTCCGCCTGGGCCCGCGAACCGTTACCCTCGGTCTTCGCCACATTCTCCGAGGGAACGGGTTTGCAGATGCAGACGGAATTGATTTTCCAGGTCTGTGTCTCAAGCCTGGGGGCCCCCGATAGCTATTGAAAAGAGGATTACGTGAAACCGTGGCCTGTCACTACACCAAGCACCTTGCGCAAATAGTCATGCAACACTTTTTTTTTGAGCAAAGGGCTTTTAAATAATGCACTTTCAACGGAGAGATTTCTCAAAGACACAGTCCCCTAGGTGTGTTCTGTGCAACTAGAGCGCTCTATTGACCCATGACAAAGTCTCCAGAATCGCAGGAAGTGCCATTTATGGCCACGGTAAACAAGATGGGAGAGAAGGATAAAGTTGAGAGGTAGATGTTTGTGATTATCCAATCTGCATACAATTCAACCCAACACAAAGGCAGCTTTACAGCCTGCCTTCCGCTAACACTTCCCCCTATCAGACTTGCACAGTAGGACTAAAAGCTAACATTTCCCCTCCTCCCGAGTGGCAGGGTAGAACTAAATCTCGTTAGGCTTTCTCCAACAAACTCCTCTCTTTGTTAAACCTGTAATGGAGAGGAAATACTATGTTAATAGAGAGGAAAAGCTGGGCGTGTTTACCAAATTTGTTTTTGACCAACTACCTAATTCTTTGAAAGCCTTTGTTTGGTTTGTGTCTTAAGGAAACCAGGCTCTGAGCCATTGCAGCCAGGGAATTTTCCTGGAGTCACAGTTCAGACGAGAGCCCTCTTTCTAGCGCCCCTTGACATGCCCCCCCGCCTCAGGCTGAGCCCAGTGAGAGCGCTGGGCTGGATTCAAAGCTGCTTCTTGAGCCTCAGTCATTCAAATAAAGACAGGCCTAGATCATTTCTATGGCCCACTTGCAGCTCAAACGTTCAATAATTCCAGTGAAATATCCAAGAATACAAGCTATGTTTAAGCAACAGAGCAGTAGTCCCAGAATCTAGCAGTTTCTCTGTAGGCGATTGTCACTATGAGTGAGTCCCTGGGGTCTCAATAAATCCTTTTAGAGTCTCTAATCCTCACCTCAAAGTGATCTCCATTCTTCTTTCAGTCCACCCCAGTATCTCACCCTTCTTTTCATTCCCACATTCAAGAAGTCCCTTCTTTCTCAACCAAGCTAAACCTCTCTCTCTCTCTCTCTCTCTCTCTCTCTCTCTCTCTCTCTCTGCTTATCTGAGTGGTGGTCCCTGTTCTAATCCCCAACTATTCCTGACCTAAAATCCTTCCATTTCTTAACCTTCCTGTTTTCTCACCTGCCTAGATGTCTGGGCCTTCCTTTTCCTGATCATTTGTTTCCTCAACACCTGAGGCAGGAGGTCACTTCTGGAGGTTACTGAAAGGCATTTCATTTACTCATTAACAAGTAATTGCTGTTGTCGTTTAACCAGCTACACCTAATGGTGTCTTTCAACACAGCCTGCACTAGTAAGACTTTCCTAACTGGAAGCTAATGTATTATTCATCAGCAAACACCAGCCACCTACTATGTGGTTAGGGACAAGGAATACAAAATAAATAAGTCACAGCTGTAGCATTTCAGAGGCTCAGTGGACTGGATGAAACAGACAGGAGCAGCTGACAAGGACACAGTGACAGAGGTGTGTACCGAGGGCTAGAACATTGATTACAGGACCATTCTGCCTGGGAGGAGGGAGATGGGAAGATCACAGAAGAGTCCCAGAATACCTTGATCTAGGACCTAAACACAGTGTTCAAGTTCGTCGGGCAGAGGGAGGGGCTGGCACAGAGGCATGAAAATAAATGTTTTCTCCAACCGTTCATGGCACAAGGACAGTGACACAGCTGCCGTATCTTCTATCCTCACACCTGACTCTATTAAAAGCTGACAAAGATGATAAAAGGTATTGGCCCATGTCAAATTCAACAGCCACAATTTTGGGCTAGGCTTGTGGGCCAGCCCTTATATTGAACTTCAGGTACCTTGATTTCCTTTGATCGTGTATCAAATTTGTCAAAAATACTATCTTCTAAAGACATCGGGAACAAATAGATGGGAAATGCTTAACAATTCTGCTGAGACAGAGATGAAATTTGGTGAGTGTCTTCAAGGATCCTCTTTGCAATGCCTTTACAAACGAGCAGTTTTGACCCTGCTTTCTTTGTAGGATTTGGCAGCTCATTTTATTTCTCCCAAATGTATCACTCGCCTTTGTCGGTGTTATTAGGGCATTTGAAACGCTTTCCAGTGGGGGAGGAAAAAAAAATCTCTCTTTGGATCCAACGACGCAGTAGTTCTTAACCTGTCTTTGGAGTCCCAAACCTTTTCAGGGAATCTGATGGAAATAATGGATCCTTTCCCCCAAATTCATGTGTGCAACTCTGCATCAAATTTTACATCCAATTTCAATGGTTCATGCATGATCTCCTGAAACCAATTTGTGGGCCCTGTAAGGTCCCACAGCCCCTAGATTAAGAACTCCTAAAGGAAATGATCAAGCAAATCACACTGGGAATACCCCATTTATGGGTGTTGAGGAGCCAATACAGAGGTAGCCCCTTTTGAAGGCAGTGGGTATTCTTGCTAAAAAGTTTTAATTTCTCTGGAATAAGTGCCCTAGAGCTGTGGCCCCCACACACCCACACTCTACCCTGGCTCCACCATGTTACCAATTGGTGCCAGAGCAGGTTCATTAAATTTGCCAAGCCTCACTTTGCTCATCTGTACAATGGAGATAATAATGCCTCTCACCCACAGTTATTGTGAGGTTTAAATTAGATGTAGATTTAACAGTCTACTAGAGCAGACACGTGGTAAATGGTAGTTCTGATTAGTACAGGTAAAATACATATGCTAATCTTTCCCCCAAACTTGCTAGTACTATTACCCTAGGGAAATTGGGGATATTATGCAAAGGATCCCTGGTGGCTATACCAAATACCCCTTGAGAGCATACTGCTATACCTGAGCTGGTGCCTCTGTGGCAAGTGGCTAGATCAGACCAGCCTTTAAGGTCTTGGTGTTGTGTTTTTTCTTTTTTTTTTAACACTTATTTCTGAAAGAGAGAGACAGAGCACAAGTGGGGGAGGGGCAGAGAGAGAGGGGGAGACATAGAATCTGAAGCAGGCTCCAGGCTCTGAGTTGTCAGCACAGAGCCCGATGCGGGGCTTGAACCCATGAACTGTGAGATCATGACCTGAGTTGAAGTCAGATGCTTAACCAACTGAGCCACCCAGGTGCTCCTAAGGTCTTTTCTATATCTAGGATCTAGGCCTCTTTTGCTTTTCACCTAAACATTACGTTTTTAAAACAATCAGATATATAAAATGTATGATTAATTAGCACATTTATTTATTCTTTTATGCAGTTTCTCTGCATAAAAAGGAGAAATCTTTAGGATCTTCCTCTAAATTACACCCTAAGCTTAATATTACCAATATGCAGGGTAATATCGTTGGCAGGGTTTATTACCATTGGTAGGGTCTTTTTTTTAATACAACTGTTTATTAAAAAAATGTTTGAGATCACTGTAAATTGACATGCAGTTGTAAGAAATAATATAGAGAGATCTCTTGTGTACTGTGCCCAGTTTTCCCAATTGTAACATTTTACAAAACTGTAATATAATATCACAACCAGGATATTGACATTGATACAATCCATTAATACTCAGATTTTCCCAGTTTTACCTGGACTGGTGTGTGTGTGTATTAAGTTCTACACAGCTTTAACACCTGTGTAGGTTTCAAGTAACCACCAC